TATATATAGAGAGAGAGAGAGAGAGAGAGAGAGAGAGAGAGAGAGAGAGAGAGAGATCTATATTTATCTGGCCTGGAACTCAATATATAGACCAGGTTAGCATAGATCTCACAGAGATCTGCTTTTCTCTGCCACCAGAGTGCTGGGATTAAGGGTGTGAGCCACCACAATGAGCAGACTGGAGATATTGATAAAGGTCAGAAGGGTCACATGCTTAGTGTTGGGACAGCCTCAGGGAGACAGCATCATCTGCAGCTAGAGTTTACTGAGCATTTTATTCTCTTACCAACTAAAGCCATGCTTGTTGGAAGGTGTGTATTTCTCCAGCAGAGCCGTCAATTTCAGAAGTGAGTATTTTTGCAGCAGGTTCATCTGGGCCACAGACTGGCAGTTAATCTGCAGAGATACAGAGTTCAGGCTCGGCCGATGAGAGCTCTGGAAGCTATGCCATCGCAGTCTGTGCCTGGAAGAGAACAGGGCAGAGCCAGTGAGCTCAAAGGCTTCTTCACAGGAGACAGGAAATAGATCCTAGGCTGCTGCTTTATATCTGTGACCCACCCCACCCCAGTAGTAAAATGAATACTCTTTTTTACGTACCAGAAGGTTGGTTCCTGTGTATCCTCAGACACCTAAACCTAGCATGCTCAAATCCCTTCTAGAAGATGCATAGTATCTATGCATTATGTATATCCTCCTGTTTGCTTTAAATAGTCTCTGGACTATTTTTAATCACCCATTAGTAATTTACTGGCATACAATTTAGGGAATAATGATAAGAACAAAAGTCTGTATTTCTCACCTATGGCTAGCTGAGTCTGCAGATTCACAAATGCAGGAGATCCAACATTTATCCTTTTAACCAGTACCACCACCCTCCAGATTCACTGTTTTCATGTTCCCCAACTAAATGTCCATATTCAGCACACAACACCCTTTGCTTTTGGAATGCTGGGGTCTCCTGTTCTGATTTTTTTTTTTCTTAGCAATTTATAAGGTTATGAATGTGAGACTTCATCCCACTTCTTCCTACAGAACCAGTGGAAGCAAACCCTTCTTGATCTCCACCCTGGTTTAGAGGGAGAAGCAAGGCCCTTACCTATTGCACCTGGTCAGGGAAGCCCCCACCCCAGAGTCCCTTCTTTCTGGGATATCAGAGGGCTCTTCAGGTTCATTGAGGGAGTTGCCTGTGCTGTCTAGATCACTGGGTGTTGTTCGGTCGTGGTCCACATCCAGGTGTATCTGTTTTGGAGATGACGGGCAAGGAGACACAGAGTCTAGGGCTGAGTCAGAGTCTCCCTCGTCTGAAAACTTCTCTGACCACTGGTTGACTATCCGCTGCATCCCCTTCACATGGTAGAGGATGTCGTCCAGCTCAGGGAAGATGTCCTCATTCTCCAGGTCAGCCAGGTCCCCTGAACTGGAATAGAGGATGGAGCCTGGCACATTGTCATAGATGCTCAGGCGGCTGCTCATGGAGCTAGAAGAATTGCGTCTCTTTAGTTCCTTAGGACTGTCACTGCTGTTTTCCCTCTGTAGGCTGCGATGGCCAGGGCCATGGAAGCTTCCAGTCCTCCAGTTCACAGAACTGTTATTTCCTGAGGGACAGAAAGTGCCATTGGAAAGGGCCTTGGGGAAGGTGCCAGGCTTGTGATCTTCAGGAATGTAGAACACTGTGTCTTCTGGGTAGCTCTCTCGGTTTTTAAAGTTCTGCTCCATCACGTTATTAAAAGTGGACTGATTGAAAGGGTCGAAGCCCTCCAGATACATGCCCACCCGCTTGTTACAGGTGCTGAGGCTCCGTGTCCGGGTGACAGGGCTTGGTGTGCTGACAGCGCTGCTTGTCTCCGACTGGCTGCTGCTACTGCTGGTCTGCGTGGAGTTGGACACGCTCCTTTTTCGTACCATGGGCACATTGATGTGGTTGCCGTTGAGGGCTGAGATCTCTACACAGTTCAGCTGCTTCAGCTTCTCCTCATTCATACCATCCTGCAGAATGGGCCCACTGATGATCAGCCCCAGCTTGGATGGTGCCTTGTGCTTGCTGTGGTGAGAGCCCTTGAGCTTCAAGCTCTCCATCCGTTTCAGCAGACTCCGTGTCTTGGACTTGGTGTTTTTCTCATGGCCTTTCATACTGAAGCTGAAGCTAGACAGTTCCTTTGGGGAAGGCAGGCTGCAGAACGAGTCATCATTGCCTACAAAGTGGCTGGAGGAGCAGACACTGATGACGGAATTCCGGGGTGTCGCAGCATCTCCGCTATGGGGCACATGGGTGGGGACACTGCTGGTGCTGCTGAGGCTGCGGACAGAGGACACCTCCTGGCACTCGCTGAGGTCTGTTAGCATGCTCTCATGGCTCGCAGCACTCTTCAAGTGAGAATCATTTGGGGAACCTGGGATTGGATCCTGCTTTGGACAAAAGACATCAAACTCCTCAAGCCGGGACCACCTCTTGCTGTCCCTCTGGAAAGTCCACTTGCCACTTATTGCACAAGGTTCATCTTCATCTGAATCCTCACTCTACAAAGACAGAAAGAAGCCATTCATGTGTTGAGCAGGGAACACGGGCAGAATACTGTTCAAAAGACACTCCAAGCAGGGCATGGTGGTATACTTGGGAGGCAGAGGCAGCGGGATCTCTGTGAGTTCCAGGCCAGTCTGGTGTTCATAGAGAGTTCCAGGCCAGCCAGTGCTATACAGTAAGACCCTTTCACAAAACAAAAATCAAAACAACCTCCTGCCACCCCTAAAGATTCCCAGTGTTCATTACTTCTTTCATACTTGAAAAAAGATGGATTTGGGGGCTGGAGAGATGGCTCGGTGGTTAAGAGTACTGGTGGCTCTTATAGAGGGCCTGCATTCCATTCCCAGTACCCACATGGTGGCTAGCAACTGTCCATATCTCCAGTTCCAGATCTGATGCCCTCTTCTGACCTCCATGGGCATTGCATGACATGGGTGTACTCACACACATGTAGGCAATATACACATATACATAAAAAGGATGGATTTAAAAATTTTATTATTACATTACATATTTAATTTTTCTTTCTCTGTGTGTTTGTGTGTGTGTGTGTGTGTGTGTGTGTGTGTGTTGTGTATGTATATGTATATGTATCATAGTCAAAGGACTACATGTCAGAGTTGATTTTCTTCTTTGATCATGTGGGTCTTGGGGCTAGAACTCAGTGGTCGGGCTTGGCAGCAAGCACCTTTACCCACTAAGCCATTTCATTAGTCCAGATTTAAAGTCTTTATGAGTAGAAAGTCCGGCCAAGTGTTTCCAGCTAAATGAGTTGTTTTATGGAAACTCTGGTTCTATAGGCTGTTCATTAATTGCTCACAGAGGAAACCTCTGAGATTGGCGAAAATTTCAAGCATGCAAAATATTCCTAACTGGGACTGGAGTCAGCAGCGGTGGGACTCCCTCTGGACTGCCTCCAGTTTTGCTATCTGTTGACAGAACGTGTTTATATTCCCTTTTGCAATTAAAAAAGGCAGTGAGCAGAGCAGTAACTTAAAGCTCTCACTAGCCTGAAAAAGTCAAGATGTCCTAAAAGGAAAGCAGACATGCCGAGTCATCACGTCTTCAGTTCAACCAGAGTCGTCCCCCTCCCCTCACTTATTTTCCCAGCCCCCAACCCAATTCATGGCAGGATGATCCTGGGCAGTCTCAGCCTCAGGCACACTCCAGGCAATTTAACAGAACTTTGAGAATGCCCAGCCCTGCCAGCATTGGAGCACTAGTAAATACTGGGGAGCCTCAGCTGTTGATAATAGTTGATTGATGTGCAGGAATCAGGAATGTCTTGTTACAGACCACTGCAGCTGGGCCTTTTAGGTGGGAAAAGACGCAAGTCAGTAAGACAGCTATTCTTGTCACTGGTGTGGAAAATATCTTATGACCGTTTGTCAAGGCTGGGTAGAGAGCATTACACACTGACTTGGAGATTCTGCCCAGTGAAGTGGGTGCTGAGGTTCCAGGTCACTTATTTAAAACGTTTGACTCCCTTAGAAGGCAACTTTTTGCAGGTCAAGCAGTGTAGGATAATTAAAATTAATGTTCTGAACAGTTAGGATTATGTTCTTCAGCCAAATTTTCTCCTGTTTACCCTAATTTGTGACATTCCCAATGCTCCGTCCACCCCTTCCTAGGCCTTATAAAAGGGCTTCACAGCTCATACTCAGAAGCGAACACATTCAGTATTGGCACCATAGAAAGAGCATGGGGGATTTCTGCCCTGGCCTCAGTCTCTTAAGACTGTTCAGTGCTCCCAGCCAGCCTTTGCTTTCATCTTGACAGCTTTGAGATGGAGATGGAGTTACTCTTCTATCTGGGAAGCAGGAAGAGTTCCCAAAGAATGGTAGCTTTTTTTCTCTAGGGAGCAATGTGAAAACCCTCTGTCATTCATTAGGCTTCACATCTTTATCACACAGAACCCACTGAATTCGTTAGGAAAAATAACAGATGCTTTCTTCCGTTCAAAAGCAAGACAATCCAATCCATTGCAGATTTGGGTACTTACTCTCTTCCGGTGAGGACTAATTTCCAGCTTCATCACTGCACATTTGTTTAACGTATTTAGGCGCCTAGGGAGGAAAGAAATAACATTAGCAAAGAAAAGAAACCACTACTAGGTAGGCAAATATTTCTAAACAACTGACATTTAACAAGTTTATCTGAACTTGTTTCCAGCACCTGGAAGGCAGAGGCAGGCAGATCTCTGAGTTCAAGGTTAGCTAGGGCCAGGGTTACACAGTGAGAACTTGTCTCAAAAAAAAAGAATAGAAAAAAGAAAAGCAAACAATTAAAAATGCCTTGTATTTCTTGAGCTTTTCTTTAAATTAAATTTAGTATTTTATTGTTTTATAGTAAAATGGCAGTGGCACTATTAATGCAGCGAGCACCCAATCTACTTCAAGGGAAAAACAAACAGCAATAAGGAACCATGGAAGGTTGCTGGAGAAAGGAAGTGTACTCCATCTCACATCAAAATTCAAATGGAAAATAAAACAGGCTTTGCTTATCTCCAACAAGTAACCATCTCATATGCTCGTTTCATAGTTTATGATACAGAGACGAGGTTTGAGCCCTCTTTAATAGCCAATACTTTATATATAATCTCCTATCAGGGGAGGATAATGTTTAGCATACTAACAGAATTGGCACAAATTATTATTTAAAAAACCTGTGTATGGAAACCTCCGGTATCAAAATCTTATTGAGTTAAAAACCAGGCACTTAGATCAGATTCTTTTTTGGAACAGGAGTCATATTGCAACCTTGAACACTTTACCCTTGGCCAACAATAATGTCAACTGAAAATCAGAGACATAGGGCTGGGAGTGCAGCGCAGTGGAAGGGCCTGGTCCACAAGCAAGGCTCCAGGTTCAACCCAGAGCACAACAAAATGAAAGAATGAATGAATACATACACCTAAATGATATGCAAAAAAAATGACAGTCCTCCAGGCCCCATTCTTCCTAACATCTTCCAGATGTTCATCACGAAGTCCTCCGCAAATGACCCTTTCAAGTGTCCAGTCATTGCCTGCCTCCTAAGTGTCATGAATCTCTCCTTCAGCCTTGCATTTCTTTCTAAAATTGCAGCCTTACATTTTCATGGAAAGGGCACTTAATTCCTTCAACTTCAAACCAATCCTGAGCCCTCGACAAGGCTTTATCTTCCTGATCCTGTTCTTAGAACTTGTCTGACAACTTAGATGCACTGGGATACACAGGACTTCTGCTGCCTGATAAGCCTGCCTTTGATTCCATAGACTATGGGAAGCTTGTTTATAGAATAAACAGAGATAAAGCAGAGTGCCTATGTTCAGAAACTGACTTTCTATGGATGGGAGGGAAAGAAAACAACTCAGAACCACTCTGCAGATTTTCAGTAGAGGGTGTAGGGTACCTCTCTAAGGGACATCAGTTACTTAAAGGCCACATCCATTGTGTTTCAGTGAAGACTTCAAGAATGAGGAATGGGTACTGTTAATCTCAGGTCTGGGTTTCATTAATCAAACCTGTAATCGAATACCTGCTTGACTCCATTTGAGCTTTAATGGTTGAATGGTGTTTATAACCAAATTTACCAGGCATGGAGGCCTATGGGGGAGGGGTAGGCAACTTCACAAACTCTAGATTTAACCAAAACAAAAAAGACCCGTGAGGTTGGTTTATAAAGGTCAACTTTATCTTTGTACGCTGGCACCAGTATGCTAATGGTATTACTTTCTAGAAGGTCAAAGCTACCTCCTGGGTTTCTGTGGTTTTCATTTGGCCCCTGGGACCTCCACAGAATGCCTACTGGAGGCAGCCCATCTACCTAAGAGGGGCGGTGGTGACATGAAATAGTAGGTCCAGCTAGAGAAGAATCTGATCTCACAGAGGCAGAGAAAAGAATGATGCGTACTAGAAGCTGAGACCCGAGAGTGTCAACAGGGAAACGGAGCATATGGGGCACAAAAGTCAGAGGAATAAGTTGTGCTGTTTTATAGCAGTGTAGTAGGGTGGCTGCAGTTAACATTATTACACATTTTAACGTAGCTAACTGGAAGGATTTTGAATGTTTCCAACGCAAGAAATGATAAATGCAGGAGGTGATGGGTATGTGAATCCCCAGAATTTGATCATTACACCATACATGCCTCGAAACATCATATGGTACTCCAGAAATATGTGTTGTCTTACTACATCAATAAGGGATGTAAAAGAAAAGTTCTAGGGCCAAGTATGGTGAAGCACGCTTTTAATCTAGCACTCCGGAGGCAGAGGCTGAGACGGGATCTCTCCGAGTTTAAGGCCAATCTGCTCTACATAGGGAGTCACCCCGTCTATCCCTGTCAGTGAGGCACTGTGCTAAGTACTTCCAATGTGTTATTTCATCTTCATCTCCATTACAACCCTCTGGTACAGATAATATGATTTATCTTCATTTTATAATGAAGGCATGGGAGATTGGAGAGCTTGGGAATCTTGTCTAAGGTATCAGAATTAAAATACGATGGCTCTAATATCCAAACACAGTAATTTCTGTACTTGTTTCTAAAGCAAATGTTGACAACTTTTTAAAAAAATGGGAGCAATGTAGATTTGAGGTAGCATTCTTCAACCAAGTGGCTGAAGCATCACTATCAATAACTATCTGTCCAGATGTCTTAGGCATTGGCATCCTCAGGGGTCCTTACAGGGCCTCGCTCCTCAGGGATGTGTCTTATCTTCCAGGCAACTTAGACTAGTTCTGAAGAGGGAGGAAACCCAGGATGGGCTACACAGATTGCAGAGCTTTGTTGCACGGAGCTGTAGACACTCTGACACAAGGACAGCAAGCAGAGACCTGTGCCTCCTTGCATTTAAAAGAAAGCAAAGAGACAGCAAGAAAACAAAGGACCAACACTAATCAATTCTTAAAAGATTTTCTTTTATATGGAATTCATATAAAAATTTAAAGAAATTACTTGTTGCTGGGTGTCATCCTAGCACTTGTGAGTCTGAGGAAAGAGTTTTAAGTTCCAGCCCAGCAGGGGCTACACAGCAAGATCCTGTCCCCATCTCCCTCCCCTCTCAATTACTTGACCCTCTATAAACTGAACAGAAAGGGTAAGAAGTTTAAAATCTACTATAATGAATATGGTTTGAATAGCTTAGGCATGTCGTGGACCGTTTTAAGACAAAGTGCAAACTGAAGATGACAATGTAGTTATCGTTTGTTCTACAATTATATTAGCTGATATTCACAATTTTAAAAAGTTCCAAAACTGTAATTCTCAGTCATTATCAAACTTTATATTTTAGACAGTATCATTATGCAAACTGCCCCCACCTCACCTTTATGTCTGTAATTCTTCTGTCCTGAGTAAAAAATGCTAAGTCAACTCCTAGCTTTTTTATCAAAACAGCTGTATGATCTACAGATGTTATAGGAATTTAAATATTTTTAACCAAGTAGCATGCTAGTAAAATACATGTGCACATAAAATATGGTCCAGTTCAAGGGAGAGGGCACGATGGGAATGAGACTTTACAAATGGAGTATCACAAAATTAGTAAAAATAAGTAGCCCATGCAGACTAAGAACAACTTGGAACTTGCAATGCTTCAGTGAGAGGCTTTTACAGCCTCTGTTTTGGGTTCCCGTCTTCTTCTCTGAAATGGGCATTCATTGCCAAGCTCTAGTTATATGAATTCATGGATAAAGGCCTTGGGCTTTCCATCACAAGAAGTTTGATGGCTATTACTGTACAAGAATTTCCTCTTAATTAAAAAAATAAAAGTTTTTGAGGCAGGATCTTGCTGTGTAGCACCAGGCTGGATTTGAACTCCTAAGTCCTCCCTCTGCCTCCCCAGTGCTGGGATTATAGGTGAGCACCTGCAAGCCAACTAAAAATATATTTTAAATAATATATATATATATATTTTTAAAATGTACTTATTTTTGTTTATGTGTATGAGTGTTATGCCTGCATTTGTGTAAGTGCACCTACGTCATGCAGGGCCCATGGATGACAGAAAAGGGTGTCAGATTCCCAGGAACTGGAGTTATGGATGGTTTATAGCTGCCATGTGGGTGGTGAAATTTGAACCTGGGTCTTCTGCAAGAACAGCCAGTGCTCTTAACTGCTGAGCCATCTCTCTAGCTCACCAAAAATATAAAAAAGTAAATCTAACTCTTGGGCTATTTGCACATACTCAAAGCAGGGTTTGATAATTTAATTTTAAAAAATAATTTATTTATTTATTATTGTTTATTATTTATATATTTATTTATTTATATTTTATGTATATCAGTGTTTTGCCTGCATGTATATAAGTGCACTGTTTGCATGTAAACGCCCCTGGAAGCCAGAAGAAGATATTAGATCTTCTGGAACTGGAGTTATGGATGGCGGTTAGCTACCATGTAGGTGATAGGAACCCAACCTGGGTCCTCTGCAAGAGTAGTCAGTGCTCTTAACCACTGAGCTATCTTTCCAAACCCTGATATACCTTTAATTTTTTAATATCACACCCAATCTGTATGTGAGAAGTTATTTACACATAAGAGAAAACTGAAGCCAGCCCAGAATACCCAGCTAAGACTGAAGAGGGATCAAGGGTCAGTTTCCTTCAGGCTTTCTCTGTACTGAAGATCTGGGAGCACAGATTTATCCTCTTCTATAAAGGGTAGTTTCTTGGGTGGTACTCAGAGCCAGCATAAATCAAAATGCAGACAGAGTACACCCTTTCCTTTGAAAAAGGAAAAGTAGATTTCAAACTGATACACACACACACACACACAAATTCTTCAAGAATTTAATCATGACTCTTTGGGCAGAAATACTGCAATATTTTTCTGACCCAGAAATTCCTAAGCTGTTGGGGTAGTTCAGAAGGCTGACTCCCTAAGTGGCTTAATGTGTGAAATGCTGATCTGATGCAAAGCTTAAACATTTCCCAAGTTCATCTTCTGTGTGACTTCATTCATGTGCATTATTACCAGTGATGCTTTGAGAATAAATTTACTCTGCCCCACAGCTAAGCATGAAAACATTAAAAAAATGTCTGGAGTTTCTATTCCAGATGCTGAGTTCTCCTCCCCAAACAGAGCTGGTGACATTTTCTCATTCCAGATGGCATAGCGATGATGTTCTACACGGCAGTTCAGAACCCAAACTTGCTTTTCCCAGAAAATGTGTGCATACCTTGGACACTTCTAACTAAAGCCGCACTCTGTTTCTGTGGTTCACATATGCTTCTTTCTTTTGTAAACTATCAAATCTAGTCTTTTAAAGATCCTTTCTAAACATATGACCTACCTTAATCCAAAACCACTACTCAAATAACATTGTAGTATATATGAAAGGTGTTAAAATAAAAAGAAAGAAAAAGAAGTGCCAGAAATCATGTCACTTGAAGATGTTTTCTCACATTAAAGTAAATATTGACATTAGGGTATGGGAAGAGAGCTGGGCTATGGCCAGCATGAAGACCTGAGTTCAAGTCCCCAGCACTGGGGAGGCAGAGACAGGTGGATCCCTGGAGCTCACTCACCAGCCAGTTTAGCCTAACTGGTGAATGTGAGGTTTGGAGAGATACCCTGCCTCCAAAAATAAGGTGGTAAGCCAAGTGTGGTGGCACATGCTTTTAATCCTAGCCCTTGGAAGGCAAAGGCAAGTGGACCTCTATAAGACAAGCTCCAGTCTGATCTACATAGCGAGTTCCAGGTCAGCTGGGACTACAGAGAGACCATGTTTCAACAGCCCCCCCCAATAAAAAAGTGGAGAATAGCTGACTTCCACCCACATGTATACACCTATGTATGCAGAGAACATAGTATATACACTCTACATAAAAATGAAGTCTTAAAAAGTATTGAAATTAAAGATTTGATTGTAACTTTACAATCAAATCAACAAGTGAATTTTGTCTATGCATATTTCTGCTCTCAGAATTGAGCTGTTAGAGTTTTCTGGTTTTGAGAAAAATTACAAAAGATGAATAACCGGAGATGAATAAAAATGTCATGTAGGGTTTGAAAGGATTATCCAGGGTCGACCACTGCCTGCCTCAGATTTTATTACTTCCACTTCTCTAAATCCCACAAGCAGCTTCTCAGCCTAGGAGCCGGCAGTTTGCTGAACAGGATCTCTGACTGCTTTATTCATAGTTCACATCAATGCTTGTTTACTGCCTGTCTCCTAAATGTTGTTTTACAGCCTATTTAATCCTGTCCTCACTCTACCTGGGGCAGTTGGAGGTGCTGAGGAGCCTCCTTGGAATTCAGATAGTACTGACTCTAAGCCCTGGCCCCGCCTCTCTGAATACATTATTCCACTCAATACCACAGCTGCCTTGACTCTCTCACAGTGCCTGTAATTGATGATATTAACTCTTCGAAAATTTCCAAGTCCCAAGCTTCCGAATCATGAGAAACTTGACTGTTTCTGCAGTCAAATGGTAACAAAACATAGAACAGTCCTACATGAGTGCCTCCAAAGACAGTGTGGATGCTGGTTCAATGATATTCTATAACCACATTATTTGTTTTTCATTAAAGGTCTGTGATGGAGCAACATAAATCATTGTATCATTTGCTAATCAAAGACCTGATGTGGATCAGATAAGAAGCAAACTAAACCTCAGAGATGAGTACCATGTTCTTAAAAGAAAAGACGATGAAAACATTCAAATCATGTCTGTTTACCTGCACAGAGCCTCAATGGCATCTCTGTCCAAAAAATCATGCTCTCTCTTGACCAAGGAGATATCAATAGGGAACAGGAGATCTGTAAGAAAGATAAACACATTATTGAGCACCTAGGTTCTTGTCAAATTAGTTTCATTCACCAAAGGGGAAAATAACTCCCAAAGCAATGTGTAGAGTACCTACTACACACAAGACATCTTATTCCCTAGCAAGCTCTCCGGGAGCACACAGCAGTTTCCATCAACTCAACACCATGTCTGAAGGAGCTCTAAAGTAGTTTAGGAACTGGAAGGTTCCTTCTAACCAGAGATGAGGTTCAAAACTCTGGTCCACCTTTAAACTAATTAGCAGGCAGTAAATACCTGCTATAAATTATAATTTAAGCCAGAATGAACCCAGTAAGAAAGGAGTCTCTTTTTTAATGTGGCTTTAAAAAATAACATATGTCTCTGTTCACATGTAATCAGGAAAGGGGCCACGAGGGGAGGGGGGAGGAACAATAAAAACAACAGAAGGAAGGCCAGGAAAGATCCAGAAAACAATAGCAAGGGCAGTCAAGAGGGGCAGTCCATTTACATGATAGGATGCACTGAGGAGAATTCAAGATACGCTATTTAAAAAAAAAAAATTAGCACTTCCATATGGCTTCTATGTGTTTACAGCTGCTTCTAGAACAAAGGACTAGCTATAAAGTCTATAGAACAATAGAAACCAAATCCCTTCATCTGTAAGAGTCAGTTCTCTCAGAACAATGAAAAAGTTGCATCAGACTGAAAAGCAGAAAGGAGGAAATTCTCCCACAAAGAAGAATTTCCTTTCTCTGTATGGCCTGAAGAGATCCCTGGAGACAGGGTAAAGCAGTGGTTACAGGGCCTGGGAAGATGGAGAATTTATAGGGGTGGGAAGCAGAGGAATGGACAGAGAGTGGCCAGTAGGTTCCGAGTGCGGCTGGGTCGGAAGAAAGACTTCTAATGCTCTGCTGCACAAGTACAGCTATGAGTGACAGCAATGAATTGTGCTTTTTTTTAATGGCTAGTAAATAGGATTGCAAATGCTCCTGAAACAAAGCAATGGTAAACATTTGGGATGCCAGCTATGCCAATTACCCTGCTGTGATCACTAGGTGTTATATACGTGCATAGTGAAATGTCCCACTGTGCTCTATACCTATGTATGGTTATTGTATATCAACTGAAAAACTTTAAAGATTTAAAGGGCTTCTTGGGCTCCAGGTTTTTAAATAAAAATCCCTTCAATTAAAAAAAATCCCTTGTGGATAGATAAACACATCCAGGAAGAGCAGACTAGGGAGGGGAAAGACTTGTAGGAGCACTGTGGGAATGAGCAATAGAGAACAGCACACAAATGAGTTCAGCTTTGAAGGTAAACAAACAGCCTTCCCAGTAGAAGGTAAATAGAAGCCTGTGCTACCCTATGGGCTACAAAGGGGCAGAGAAAGTCACCCTCACAGGGTGATCATCATCCAAACAATCCCCTTGGCCTCCAAAATGCAGAAAGCTACTATTAGAACAGGCACAGCTGCAATTTTGGGAGCTATAGGTAACCTGCCACTGGACTTTAACCGTTCTTAACCTACGATCGCTGGCTTTGCCGAAAGGTTACAGAGTTCCTTATTCCTAAATCATTTGTTTCCTGGGGATAATATTTACAGCATCTTTTCGAAACAATTGTGAAAGCTATCATGGGTATTAAGTTACCATCTATTCTTTAGTTTCCTGAAGACAAGAATTGGATTACTGATACTGTTCCCTGAATACATGCAGATCAAAGATCAGTGAAGAAACACATGAAAGTTAGTATCCCAAGACTGTATTTCTTCATCAATGTAGAGGTGAATAGCTGCTGGCATTGCCATGGTGGAGACAGAGAAGACTAACAGTGATCAGAAATGTAAATTAGTGAGTAGAACCAAGACAACATATGCTTGCTGTTAGGGACATGTGAGACTGTATTAAATAACAGAGCCAAAATTAAAGAACACACACACACACACACACACACACACACACACACACACACACACTTTGGAAACAGTCTTACTATAAAGCCCTAGCTGGACTGAAAGTTGCTATGTAGATTAGGTTGGTCTCTAACTCAGAGACACAGAGATTCATATGCCTCTGCTGGGATTAAAGGTGTGTACTATCATGCTCCAATAATATGTAAAGATCTTATGTATTTTTAAATTTTATATGTATGAGTGTTTTACCTGCATGTGTGGTGCCTTTGGAAGTCAGAAGAGGATGTTGGATTCCCTAGAACTAGAGTTAAAGAGGGGTGTTAACCACCATATGGGTGCTGGGAATTGAACCAGGGTACTCCAGAAGAACTGTAAGTGCTATTAATGGCTGAGGCATCTTTCCAGCCTCTAAAGTACATATATTTAAGGCAGTGCATACCATCAAATCTATAAATGTACATGAAAATTTTGGCTCACATGCTTATTAAGTACATGTGAGAAACAAATTGCAATATTTTAGCCATTTCTAATTTACTGTATCAAGAGCTGTACTGAAGTTTACCTTTCTGATCCAAATGAACTATAATTCTATTTTTTAAAAATCTGGTAGTGATGGAATTTAAGGAATGCAGGAACTCAATCAAAATTTTTCTCTTATTTGCCTTGATCCTTTTCTGAAAAACCGGTTTCTAAAAGATGACAGCTTACTGATACGCAGAAGACATTTTCTGAACCCAATTTCCAGTTTGGGATTAGAAGCAGGAAGTATAAATTGCCAAGGACCAAAATAAAGCTAAACATCAGGATGAGGAATCTGTGGGCTGGGATGTGGTGTGTGTACTGCTCGCCCATCAGACAAGGCAGGATGAGGGGGAGGGAGAGCTTACAACAAGGCACGGTGCATCTCAGAGGTGAGCTTATGCTTCATAGGACAGAGACAGGTACAGGGGCCCCCAAATATCCAATAGGAAAATAGAGCCTGCATTTTAGGCCTGTGAAAGAAAGAGAAAGACTGGAAAAGAAATTTACAGACATGTCACAAAAAGCTGCCACCCAGGAGCAAATCAACACTCCAAATGGATGTAATTGAAGGAAATTTAATTCTTGAAGAAGGAAACAAAAGTACAGCCACTTCAGGGCCAATGTAAATCCAATTATCTTTCCTTATCTCCAGGGACCTGTGAATCAGAAATCCAATTGAATGCTGTTCCTGCTTCCACCTCCAAACCTCTTTAACAGGCCAGAAGTTCTGTCTGAAGGAAAGATAAGCAACCTCACCAGAGTAAGTATAGTATTAACTACAAGACTTAAAACTAAAAGAACAACAAGTAACTGCAGGTACGCTGTGAAACAGAGGGTCAGTAAGAAATTTTAGAAGCTAATAGTAAATCAGTCACCATGAGCTAGGGAAGGAAGATTGGGCATCGTAAGTTAGGAATCACTTCACAGTTCATCAGTCTTATTTGAAAATTATCCATAAATCGGAGTTAATTATTTCATAGCTCTAATCATTTCTTAAATGATTTCATACGGCACAGTTAATTCATATGGAACAGTTAATTCATCTCAGAGCACATGCTGTTGGCCTAGGGAACCAGAGGCTCAGAGACCCAGCTAGACAAGCATGCTTAGTCTCTGTCTGTAGCATCCTGGTGATCCCTGGGACCCTGACATGAAAACACAGAAAATGTCAGCTCACATATTACCTTCTTCTGTTGTCCAATACAGGTGTTGGGAAGTGACTTGGGTCCTCTGCAAGAGCATGCTCTTCTTAACCACTGAGTCACCTCTCCAGCACCCTGACTTTTACATTTTCTTTCCCTTTTCTTGTGTTTATGTATGCATATGTGTGCATGTATGTGTTTGTAGGAGTGCTCTTGCATATATAGAGGAAATAGCTCAAGGGCAAGTGTCTTCTTCAGTAGCTCCTCATGTTATTTTTTTGAGAGAGTTTCTTAGAGCTAGCTAATAGGCCAGGATGGTGAGCTTGTCTCTGTTTCCCCAGTGCTAGGGTTATAGGCATGTGATGGGGATCTGAACTTGGGTCCTCGCATTTTCATAGTGGTCACTTTGTCAATTAACTATCTCTCCAGCCCCTTACTTCCATTTTTCTTCATTAAAAATGGCATGTGACAGAAAAAAGTAATATTAATCCAAGACAACCTAGAGAAGAGTGAAACATCTAGCTACAAATTTAGAGGGAGACTCATGACCAACTAGAATGTAGAATAAGGATCTCATGAGAATAATTCTCAAAACTGTAAATGGCTTAGTAGGACAACAGGCCCGAGTCATTTCTCAAAAGACCAAACACATATACACGTCCAAACAAAATGAAGAATTGTTTATTATTAAAGGGTAGGAAAATGAAAGTCACAATCTATATATCATTCTTTAGCCATCTGATTGGCAAAAACCAAGTCTGAAAACATCAACTGAGCAAATGTGAAGACACAGGGTCTTTAAGTATCATTGGCAGGAGTGATAGTATACTGAAGCCAGAAAAATGTGTTACAAAATGGAATATTCAAACCTTTTATTAGCCAGTAACTTTATTTTTAGATATACACGCAAGGGAAATTATTATGCATGTATTAAAAAAATAGGTACATGAATGTTCAAAACAGCATGGCTTGTAAAAATAAAGCGACTGAAATGCCCACCTACTAGAGTGTGATTAGGAATGGTGCTCCATCCATATGAAGAATTACACAGTATTCAAAGCAAATGAGCTATAGGGGCACACAGGTTAGTGGAATCTTAACTGTTATATAAGAAAATGAAACCCCACAAGATTATGTATAGCATAATCCCCTTTTCTTGTGATGTATAGCTTTAATCCCAGAAGAGGCAGGCAGATCTCTGTGAGGCCGGCCTGGTTTATACAGTGAGTCCCAGGCCAGTTGGTGCTACAGGAGACCCTGTCTCAAAAAAATAAAAAAGAAGAAGAAGAAGAAGAAGAAGAAGAAGAAGAAGAAGAAGAAGAAGAAGAAGAGGAGGAGGAGGAAGAGGAGGAGGAGGAGGAGGGGGAGGAGGGGAAGAAGAAGGAGGAGAAGAAGGAGAGGAAGAAGAAGTCATGCTTTCAAGAAATGCAACAACATTGTATAAAATTAGAACACAAAATCTGACAGAGGTTTCAGGACACAAATTATTCTTTGCAGAGGCACAAAATCCAAGGGCAGGTGGTTATGTGGTTGACCGAAGTTCTAGTTTTTGTTCTGAGTGGTGGGATTTGTAAGTGCTTACGGCCATTATTTTGAAAAAAGAAACAGTTACTTAGGTAACAAAATGTCTGAAAACAACTCAATAGGTCAGTACTGACCGCGAACCCTCTGTTGTGGCTATGCTGATTTAGAAAAATGATGGGTCTGCTGGCTTACCTTCATAAAGCTGTGCATACTGGGGAAAACCAGTTGCCCGCAGCCAATCGCAAGCCTCCTTGGCTTCAATTTCTAGAAACAAACAGAAGACAGATTTGTCAGCCACATGTTCCCATGTCTGAATCTCCTTCATTGATAAACTGATTTTATTAGAGAGGTAAAACACAGCTTCTGTTAAAAATATCCAAGAAACTAAAAGGTCCACTTAGTGCAAATGGTTTGAGTTTTTATACACCTTCTCAGTCTTTTTTAAATGCATATAACTACTTGTCTTTTCTTTAAAGGGAAAACAAGGGCTGCTGCTCAGTGGTGTAGTGACTGTCTACATGTGCCTGGATTTGATCCCCAGAACTACAGAAATCAAAAGACAAGAAAAGAAAATACAAAAACAGGATCCAAGCAACAAGCTATTCTACACTGCTTCTGACAGATTGAAAAAAAGCATATGAGAAAGTTGGGGGACCCAGTAACTAACGTGAAGCCCTGCTGGCCTCATGTGGTTTACTTTTTTGCTTCAACAAAAATTTACAAAGAATATCCTGCACCCTGGAGTAGAACGTAACTGGGCATAGTTATAGGCCTTGTAACAATGGTGGACTGGGCATTTTAAGAGCTGCAGCCTGTGGCGAAGTACCTTTAGGGGCATGAGTATTAATCCAGAAGGAAACAGGCCCAGGCTGTCTAGGGGAAACATGGAGGGCATTAAGTCACTAAATCCCAGAGTCTTGGCAGGTGAAATGCCTAATAAAGCTCCCACCTCCCTGTGGTTAAGCATCCTGTAGACAGTCCTGATAAACAGAGCAGCCAAGAGCAACTGACACACTGTGTTAAAACTCATCAAGCACATATTTACAATTCTGTTAAAAGTGACTCACAGAAGAGGTCCTGGGCACAGTAGTTTCTGTTTGCAAAGAATATTCCTTTCAACTCCTCATCCTGACTTCTTCAGGCCCTTAGAGTCCTTATTATGCAAGGCCATTCACTTTATAGCGATCTCCACATTGCTTAATTCACCCCAGAGTCCCATCTTAATTAAGACTCTGCTCTGAGCCAGATGTCGGCCTGGCGGCCACCAACACAAACACACACACTATCTAACTTTGTGCTTTCCAAGCATTTTTCACCTCTTTTTGCAGGAGTTCCTTGCCCTTTCAAGAGAGGTAGTCAAGAAAATTTAAATTCATTAAGGCAAATAGGAATGTCCTATTAGTGACACAGAGGGGAAAAACAAGGCATGATTTTCCAAGCCAGTTAATACCCAAACTAAAAACAAGTATGGGAAGGGAGTGCCAATAAATGGCACGGCAAAGGTTGTGTTCAGGAGTCATTCTTGTGCAGAGACTAAAGCAGCATTATTAAACCTAAGGCTCAGGACTTTATGGGGTCCACGAGGGAGGGGAATCAATGTCGAAGGGCTTCAGTGTTTGCCCTCAGCAAAAGAGAAAGACACTCAACATCTTGCTCTGGCCTCTACATGCACACACAGGGGCACCTGTACCCACACACTCACATTCATGCACTACACATGACATATACACACATAGACAAAGAGAAAAAAAATTATATGAACAAGCAACAGCTTGCTTTTTTAACAGCTATGTTAACTAAACACTTATATACTAAGGAAAAAGAAGTAATTTCAAGAACCACAAAGATCTGGTCATTTGATCCTTCCTTTTCTTCATGAGAACATAAATGAAAATGTGCATCTTTTAAACATGAAACAATGGAAGGAGACAAGCGTGGGACTATTTGAGATAAAAATCATCCACTCACTGAAAACTTAGGCTGGGCTGTCATGGTTTTCAGAAAGTGGAATACTTAAGACATCATTTCACTTTACTAATGGAACAAAGAAGTAATAAAGACCAGACATGAATACTATGGATGTTTACAAATACACACATGGGGCAATGTGAAGTTATTCTATATCTATATCAAAATGGCGTCCTGACTGGGTCTAGACTGACCCTCACTGGCTCTTGTCCTAACCGAAGCCCCAGGTCTCCAGTCTTTCTTTCTTCTTTTCAGAGGTCACACCCACAGACCTGGGCTCATATAAATTCCAGTGTCTTGATCACACACTGTCTAGAAAATCAATTCTGAACACCATGGGACTATTTGCTAGACTGGCCATTACTCCCTCATCCTAACCAAAGAAGACATGTGCACCTCCATACAGAACAGTGACTTCTGAAGTGGAAATGCCCCCCTACCAGCTCAAGGTCAAACATCAATCACCCCATGGACCAACCTGAATGCTTCTACCTTGGTGGGTGTAGTTTTCCAGACACCTCAACAATTTTAGCAGCGACCAACTTTTGTTGAGCATCTAATAGCTCTAAGTCTGTCTCAGCATTTTATGTAATGTATATCAGCTCATTTCCCCATAATGATCCTAAAATGTGGAGTGCTAACATCACCCTCAGTAGAAAGATGCTACGATACAGGCAGAAACAATCACTTCTCCTTAAAAACTGAGCTTTCTCCCTTCCCAATCCCACAGTACGGGAGGGAACTGGGACTTACACAAATCTGGTTTCTTTGTGTAAAACACCCTCTTCCTTTCAAAAAATACGTGCCAATGAAAAAATTATAAAATATTAAAGAGCTGGAGAAGTGGCTCATAGGGTTAGTTGATCTGAATTTGATCAGCAGAACCTACAGAGGAAGGAGAGAACTGACTCCATTTGTCCTCTGACCTCTACATTTGCACCATAGCATATGGGAACCTGCACACTTGCACACACACACACACACACACACACACACACTAATAAAAACTTAAAAAATCAGAGCACATGACATACCTATTGGTTCGGCCACCCTACCACCTCCCCCAGGCTCATTCTGATCACTTCTAACTGGCTCTAAGGGTAGGATTTTCCCTTGAGTGCAGGTGCATGGTGGTGTGCATAAAAATGAGGATGATATTTTAAACATTTCTTAGGTAAAAATGCCACTAGAAACTTAAAAATACACTGGTAATACAAGGAAATTTGCACACTTAGGAATTTTGCTAAGCAAACAACAAATATGTTAAAACAGGAAATGGGAAATTTTTCTTGGAAGCAGCTTAATCATTGGTTATTTCACAAAGCAGTTCTGCACATTAGATGAATAAGCTCTTGGAGACCCTTTTGTGCATAGTTGCAAACCATTAGACCATACTGTACACTTCCTGGCTGAATGTGTTATCTCTATCTTCTCATTACACCTTAACAGTAAGTCTGCTCAAGTTCCCTGCTGGGCTCTGCTGGGCTCTGCGTACAACAAGCAACAGTCAAGGGGTCCAAGGTGGCTGGCATGACTTTTACCTTCACAGTGAGATCATCAAGGTCTTTTCCCTTCTTTCCCCAATATATGCTCCAGAAAATCCATGTCTTAAATGAAATTCTAAAGAACTAGGGAATATTACAAAAATGCAAACACTTTCCCTGATTTCTTAGAGTTCCTGAAACATGACAGATTTGTGGGCAAAGGTTCATGGAAAAGTAGATGTGACGATAGAGCTGCCCTACCTATGTGTAGGCAGGTGGGGCTTTCAAATCCAAACCAAGATCCATTCCTGCCCCTGGGTGACCAGATTCCTTCAAACAGGAAGGAAGGGTCAGCTTATCAGACTCTCCAGACTAGGTCAAGGAGGTCAGTAATGTGGGGCTATCATGCAGTTGGACACAATGCTTTAACACCCACCTTTACTTCATGGATAGATAGGGCTCACGCGGTGGGTCATATGGAGAAGGAGCTAGAGTCTCAAACAAGAGTAGTAAGAGACCACAGTGATTCTCAACCTGGTTGAAGGTGGTGCTGCCTTAGGGTCTTCCCACAAATAAAGACCATCCAACTCAGGTAGTCAGATTTGCTCAATCTCAGTCTGGCATGGACATCCTAGTTTATAAAAGCTTTCCATGCAAGCTCAAGTATAGGCAGGACTGAGACTCCAGGATCCAGACAACATTCTCTGGTCTATTTCTTTGTCCTGGCCTCTTCCTCTGGACCCAACAACCTTCTAAGAAGCCTCTCCCTTCCCCATGTCCAACAAATCCCATCAGCTATCAGGGTGGTCTTCATCAACCACATATTTGATTTGTCTCTGGCCCGCTTCTGATTCTTCAGTGACTTTCTCCAGTTAATGAGTTACAATCCAAACCCTTTAGCAAAGGCCTTTGGCCTTCCTGACTTGGCCTCTGCCTCCCTTCACCTCTTAGAAGACAGGCCTCCAAATCAAGCTCTTAGAACCCAGGGCCTGTGTTTTCTCTTTAGACTCTAATAAATTCCCCCTTTTCATTCCTAGGTATACCCCAAAACACTTCCTTCCGTACACTGAGACCACATATAAATTTGTCTAAAAAAAGGCAAAGAAAAAAACATTCATTAATATTTTCCTTTCTTCAAAGGCATACTAAGAACTTTCACTTGACAGTTATAAGAGTAAATGTCAAATATACACAGCTGCCAAAGGCTGGTTATCAGGAGTTATCTATGTAAAATGAATTCCTAGCTAAGTCAGATAGAATACATACTTAATATTTATTAAGCTCCAATGTTATCTAATCACAGAAAAGATTCTGATGCAACAAGCAGCATTCCTAAACTCAGTTGTCTAAAAGAAAATTCCAAACATCTACTGCTCATATTCTGAAGGTTAAAAAAAAAAAAAGTGAAGCTTTTGGAGATGAGGCACTCAGTCAGGGCTCTGGACCTGTGGCTAAGAAGTAGCTGATCCAAATCCACCACGAGGTAATTAAGAGAAGTCAGTCAACTTGTACTTTCCCCTTCCTGTAATACTTACTTTTTGAACTAGGTGAGCTGCTGGCCATAGTCAGGGATAATCAAAATTCTCAAGTTCCTACCCTAAACAGGAAGCCAAGTGGAAGGCCCTAGTCCTGTATGGGAGCCTGAAGATCCTCTGCCTTCCACTTAGGAATCACTTAGGTTTCCAAGAGCTATTCTAGGGCCTGTGTGTTTATTAGCTTCAAGTGATTTGTTCAGGCAGCACCAGTGAGCCCCACTTCCCTGTGGAAAGTCATAAGAAGGGCACATAAGGCCAGGCTGTTGAGCACCCCATC